TTCTATAGCAAACAACCCACGTCGCTTGGTCCTTCCCCAAACGGCTGATTTAACAAGCTCCTTCTGGCTCCCATGGTTTTTGCAACACCATACACCTCCTTAACCTGATTTGAGGGGGGAGAAGGTTCGCTGTATGGTCTCACCCAGTGACATCTTTCCGAGTCTTCCAACTGGAAAAGAAAACCTTGAACTCAACGCGGAACTTGCAAAGGACCCCCAACCATGGGACTGTCCTTTTGGCTTCCCGAAACACACGCTCTCGCCTAGGCGCTGACTGCTGTGCGCCAGCAGGTGCGGCTGTGCGCGCGCCAGGTACCGGCCCTGCGAGGCGAAGCGTGCCCGGCGGATCCTGTGGGAGCTGAGTGGGTGGTTTTGGGGAGTGCAGCCCAGAAGGAATGCACTCGCGCCAAGTGGAAGGGTGGAATCCTTTGTAGCTTCCAACCTTTTCCCCAGCCGGCAGTTCTCTCAAATCGAGAAACCGAACTTGCCACTTCAAACTTGTTGGGTGGTTTTTGTCGACTCGAAATCAAGCGAACGTCAGACGTTGAATGGCAATGGGTGATTTGGAGCTTGCTGGTTTTAAGGTGTCCCGGTTTCCGGAGTGGGTTCTCATTTACCCACAAGATTCAAGGGTTCAAATCCCAAAACACAACTCCAAACCACCAATTGGGGTGACCTGATAGAAGAAGCTCTTTGGGGACTCTTGGCTGGTGGTTGTTGCTATTTCACCGCAAATAAACAGGCAAGAAAGCATGGATCTTTCCATCTTGTGGGCCTTTTGCTAGGCCAATGGGAGTCTATGCAAAGTGGTCTGTGTCCTCTTTTTGAGGAAACCCTTTTGGCGAGATTCTTTAAAGGGGAAAAACGGGAAACCACTGGTTTGGCGGTTCCCCGTATTCAAGTCAAGACCCAAATAGGCATGAAGCGGGAGGCGGTCGTCCTTGTTTTTCACATGTCCCACCATCTTGCAGATGTTGGCAGCTGGCAAGGAAATACTCCCATTTGCCTTCCTGAAGGACCAAGCACCTCGAAAGAATAAGTTCCTGGTTGCCTTTGGGTAGGGTTCAAAAGCCCGTTGACATTCTAGGGAATTGTTGTTGAAGCCCAGGCAGCCGTAGTCATGGCTCCCTCACAAGGAACCCTCGTATTTCTTATCCAACATCCCCATGACTACACATGTTCCATGCTTTTCAGTAGGTCTCTGAACAGGGTTCACTTGTTGTTACGTTCGCCTGCAAAAGTTGCAAGTTTGAATAGAACTGCCACGTTTGAACGTCAAAAAGAGCTGGAAATTCAGGGACTCATGAATATCTGTGCGTATCCACTTTTACATCCCCCCGGAGAAAAAAAGAAAAAAAACTCCTCAAAAAAAATCAGCTCGAACTCAAGAAAGTGGTGCTCACTATGCTTTCTGAATCGAAAACCAACCCCACTGCCTGGAACTCGGCGAACTGCTTTCGGATCATCTTTTCTGCCTCAGAGCTCACGAAATCGAGCCTCGCACGCGACTCGTAGCTGGCTGTTAGCTTGACGATGTCCAGGGGCCCTGAGCAAACAGACTCTAGACCTTAAGCGGTTCCGGGCACTCCCCGCAGTATTCGTCCCAAATCGGATTTTCAGGAGGCATCGACAATGGAGTATATGTTTTCCTCCAGGTTCCATTGATGCGAATACCCAGGGCTTGGCAGTTTCCCCTGGGTGTCAGTCCTTCGCTAACAAGATTGCAAACCCTGCTGGCACCCAGCAGGGCACCGGGCATCGACATGTTAAACCCGGGCTGTTTGAAGGACGCTTTTTGGGGGGGGGGGGGGGTTTTAAAGGCACGCCAACAGGAAAACCACCCCACAACTCCACAACCCAGCTGGCCCTTCCGCTCCCTCCGGCCTCGCCCTCTTTGAATCCCTTGGGATCAGCATCGCTCTCCTGGCGATACAACAGCAGCCCGGCCCGGCTGGGGCGTTTCGGCCACGGAGATACTATTTTAATAGGGAAACGCCTCAAAGTCGATGAATCTGCACCCAAATGATGACCATCAAAGGGTCCCCGACTAAAATTCGCACCCACAACTCGGTTGTAGCCAACTCTCGTCAAAGAGCACTTCTCCTTTTCAGGCCCGGTTTCATCCTCGCGAAAGGACCGCGGCTTCGGAATGGCAAGACCGAATCCGCGGAAGCCGTCCTTCACGTGGAACAGGTCTGACTGCCGCTCCATGAAGGTCATCAGCGTGTGCAGCAGATCCTGGTCGACCGCGGAACCGGTCGACGGTCGACTTGCAAGTCGCGCATTTGTTTGCTCTTGGGCGTAAAGGACAAGGGTGCAAGCCGAAGACGTGTAAGATGTGATTTTGAACCCACGTCCACAGGGCCTAGTGATAAAAGAGCTGGGCTTTCCCTGACGACTAAACCAACATTGGAGATTGGTCCCATCTACTTTCACCAGATTATCTTTATGAGGCAAGTAAAGGCCATGACTAAATCAACATGTGTTGGTCAACTCTACCAAGCGGCGACCCAAAGCGGAAAATCGCGCCCACGCCGCACACTGGGCCATTCCCGCGCAAATATCGGGCCACTTCGAAGGGGCATGTTGGCAAAACAAAGAAAAGATCGACCAACTGCCATGCCTGACAATGACAAACAAAAACTGAAACTACATGCCCCTATGGAACCTGACTGCCCGGGTTCGAACCGTTTTCCTTCAAGAGGGGCCCGCTGGAGGTGCCTCGATGCCCTTGTGCTTCTGAGCCAAGCCCAGGATCAGATCATCCTCAGCACGGGGACCCCTTGGAAGCCAGTTGTCGCCGCACCTCTAACTGGGACTATCCCAGCCTGCAGCTTGAGTTGGGGGTAAAGGAGGAATCCAGCGCGCAACCTGCAAAGACTCATTCAGAGCACCTGAAACCACAGTTGAAATAATTCAATTTTGATTTGTTGGTTACGAAGAACCCCCTGCTTTTTGGAAGAAATGTCCCTGTTGTGGCAGGCAACCTGTGGCTGGCATTCCTGACAGGGAGCATCCGCAGACGTTCAAATGAGCAGCCTGTCCAAGGCAGGTTCCTTGTTCCACCCCGCGCCGCCTTGCGCCACCTGGTACAAGGGAACCCTAGTATTGACACCCTCCCTCCAAGAGTGTGTATATATATATATATGTGTATAGCCTGATTTATACACACAAACTCTGAGTTTCCCGAGTGGATCGAAAAAGCCCAAACTTTTTCGCCGGTCAAATTCTCCAAGCCCAACAAGCTTGAAGTCCAACGCTCCTTTCTGGGCTCTAGCACTCGGATTTGCAAAGCTTTGCAAGTTGACAGAAGGCCGACTCCGTGGTGGTGTGAGGAATTTACGTTTCAGGGCCATGTGGTGGGCTTTCCGACTTTCCCATGTTTGTTTTTGCCGCCTTTTGTTTTGCTTAGCAGCAGCAAGCAGCAGTAAAGAATGGGCATGGACAGACAGGGCGCATGGGATTACTAAGATCTATGTGATGTCTTGGAATGGGTAAGAACCTTTGGGAACGATTTGCGAAGAAGAGGAAACCAACCACATGCAGACCCAGTCGAGCCATCCCTGGATTCGAGTCATCCCCCCTTCTCAGCTACAAAGCCATGGGTGTCTAGCTGGGCCCCCACACGAAGCGGCCGTCCATGATGACCAGCAGCAAGTCGCGAATTGCGAGGGCCAGCGGATGGCAGGAAATCGCTAGAAATCGCTTGGTGCAATCTTGACGTCAGGTGACAGGATATAAATGTCAAGACCGAAGCAGTTTTTTCATCCAAGATGATACATGCATGTGTCTATGAACATTATACTTTGTGTTTAGAGACTTGAGGATAGAAACGGCAGTCTGATCAGATTTGCAAGTTTAAACATCTAGAAAATGTGTGAACTGGAAGAACCGCTGCTTTGGTTCGGAAAACACTTTTGACAAGGCACGTCCTTGCCAATCAAAACTCGTTTGGCCAGCTTCTTTGACATGCCCTCTTGGCACTATCGTGAAAAAGCTCCGCTGCACTGTCCCTTTGGCTCGCTGAGAGAGTCAGCAAACACGGACTCTGCCTGCAAGGGTCATCTGATATGAGCTGCCCTCAGAGATTTAGTGCCTCCCAAATGAACTTATTAACCATAAACTATTAAAATCAGGGTTCCACTGTTGGATTACCGCAAGGTAGAAATCATCCCGCAGATGGTTCATTTCCCTCAAAAAGGAGAACCCTGCGTTTAAGTCAACCTCGCGGTTATCCAAAAGCGAAATCCTGATTGAGTCGTGTAGGTCGGTTGAGTTTGCGTGAAATGGTGCCGAATGCCTTCCGAGAGCGGGCCCACTCGTGAAACACTCCCCAGGATCCAGAAAACTTCAGTCCCTCCACACTTGACTTGCCTTTTACTCCAAAGGGCAAATGCACGGGAACGGGCTCCTGAATTGGCACCCCATGACTCAGGCGGTGGCATCAAGCAGTCCGGCTACGGTCATCCCATTCGTGAACCCTCCCCACCTATCTGACCACCCGTTGAACCCCTACCTACACAGCAACAACTCTTCGCGTTTCCAAACAGAAACTCCCTTGACTCATATTAACTCGCGCTTGCGCTCCGCTTGGCACGGTAGTCAAAATCTGAACCCTCTGATGGCCTCTTGGTGTGGCACCCTGCTGCCGATGGAAAAACGCGCTATGCTTTGTGGATCCGTCTTGGGTGCCCTGATCCCTGCGCTTGGTCCACGTTCAGCCCTTTAAGGGTTGAACAACCCCCACGATCAGTTTAGTCAAATCCAGCCAGTTAGATACATTGGGGGTTCGCAATCCAAGCACCGAACCACCAAACAAGTAAACAACACCAACAAACCACCAAACCAGCAAGCAACCGAGCAACCAAACAACCACAGTCCAACAATGAAACAATCAAACTACTAATACCAAGACCCAAACCAATCCAAGAACTGACATCCATCCAGGCTCTGACCAGCTCCTATGTGGCTGCAACTCACTCCCGCTTCCCTCCCGAAGCCTCCCGAAGCCGCTGCCAGGGCTCCTGAGAGTGACTCCCCCCCCCAGTGGTCAGAAAGAAAACAAGCTTTGAGGCTGCTTACTTTTGATACTTTTGAGAGTGGTTGTTTGTGCCGGCTGGTTGCTTTTGCTGGTTTCGCTGACAGGTGCTGGAGATTGTTTTTCTGGAGGGGCCGATGTCCGCTTCTGTCTGAAATATGACATTTGTCTATGTGAATGTGTGTATGTATGTTATATGTGCATTTAATGTATGCGTGTTTGGGTACGTACCAATTGATACTTGTGCCTTTTTGGCTGAAGCTGACTTTGTTGAAACTGTATGCTGCAAGCAGGTACCAGCATGGGAAACCAATCAGCATGCAATGAGCTCGCATGAGTTAGTTTTATATGGGAGGGCTCCCCCCAAATGTCTGCTTGCTGTTTCACTTTCCTCTAAGACCACCTCCACAAGTTGCTGATGTTGCGAATATTGCAAGCGGCATGAGAGGAACCCCTTCTTGGAGTGCACGGTTCACAAGGGGAAGGATCGCAACTGAGCGGAAACGGACTCTGGGCTTTGTGGTGTAGTTGTTTTGGAGGCCCTAATTTTCTGGACCTCTTTGGAGACATGTGCGAAAGGAACCCCCATGACACCAACCCAATCAAGGTCTGCGCAAGCCTCCACCATGCACATGGGCACCAAACCGCTTCTCACGCCTCAAAATCTCAGCCTGCGAATGTCGGCCTCGGTTTGGCTGGGTGGTTCAAAAGGGGGGCTCGGGGGGCTCAAACTTCGGGGCGCTTAGAAATGCAGCAGCATTCTAACGAAACCTCCTCGCCTTGCCAGAGAACTCAGCGGCTTCTGAGAAACGCGATGTGATGCTGAGGAAGCAGTATCTACTGAACATACAAACACCACGGGTTGTCATGACCTCGAAAAATCACCTCCGAAATTCCGTCCCCTCAGAAGTGGAACGGCCCTTCCGACACCTGCACGAATACCTCTTCCCAACTTTGGTAGGTCAGCACCTGTGCGCTATCCTTCGACTGCACCTGACAATCGCTAGACCCCAAAGCGTCCAGGTGTTCGGGAAAACCAAAAGCAAAAAGTAAAAAACCGCCAAAAGCCAACAAACGAAAGCAGACCCTTCAACAAACCCACCAGATCTTCAGGCAGCCGCCAAGCCCTAGCATCTCCTCCGGCCAATCCTCTCGCGCCGAAGCCTGGGAACCGAGCTTCTCTTTAAATCCACCCGGCCTCCAATCAAGGATCCTACCATCTGAATGAGGGGAACTGGAACTTAAAAATTGAGGGAACAGAGAGGAAGCTATGGGGAGCACCTTGTGGCCCTCGTGGCATTGTGCTTGGTTCTTCCAAAAGGACATGTGTGGGTCCAATAGGCCCGTTGGCAAGATTCTCCGCGGAGGGGGGGTGCAAATTGTCACTCCAATTTCCACCAATGCCCCACTTGGTGGGGATGCTGCGGTTCTGAAAAGGAGCGATGGACAAACCGAACAGATCAACCAACTCCCGCGACCCGTTTGGGAGGCTCTATAATCCAAGAGTCTCCAAAATGTCAGGAGTCAAAAGACAATGGTTTTAGAACGATCAAAGCAGCTAAAGTCGTAACAGATCGTGGGTCGTCAAGACTCGTCACATCCAGCCAAAATTGCACTGCCAGATAGGACTCTGATGTCTAAACCCTTGTTTTTAGTCCATGTTTAGCGATGATTCCTTGGGCACAGAAAAAGGCGAACAAAACAAACTCCCAGGCAAACGCATCGAATGTGAACCTTGCCACGGCAAAAAGCAACCTTTCTTGGAGCAAGGCCCAAAAGTGACCGTTTCCGCCACTTCGAGTTGTTCAATTGATGGCTCTCCACAGCCTCAAATCTCCTGCCTTAGCCATAGCGGAGGTTACTTTCATGAGCGGTTTGAAAAATCCCCGTCTCCACACAGAGCACATGCCAAGGTCCAAAAGGAGGAAGCCGAAATCAAGAAGCTGCGTCCATAGTAAGGCATCCTCATTTGGGGGAACCTTTGTCGACAGTTGTTGGGGATCATTCCACGAGTGTTTTTTGGCGGTCAAGCGCACAACAACCCAACATCCAAATGTGGGGGGTTTCTCAAAAGTAGTGACCCCTTCAGGTTGGTTTCCTTTTAGTTTGTCTTTCAATCCAACCTCTTGAGAAACACCCATCGAACGCAAAAGCGACCCGAAACGCCCCGAAACGTGTTCAGCGCCTCCGGGTTCGACCACACCAGGGCCAGCTCGAAGAAAAGCCTCGGGTCGATGCTAGGGCCGTCCTTCGAGCTTGTTCAAAAGGGAAACCAAAAGAAAACCATTTGGCGAGTCCTTCTCATGTTTTTTACAACGCATCAGGCGTCCTTATATTTCCCAACGATCACCCCACCTTTTTTACGCAGGTCATACAGGCAGCCCCATCCTGTTGTTTTGTGGAAGGTTGGTTAGGATGGGCGTAGGCTTGGCGTAGGCTCGGTTTAATGGTTTTGGGGGTTGGTTTAGGGTTGGGTTGTCGCAGCTGTGCTACAAGGGATTCAGATTCCAATTTCTGTAGCCGATGTAGTACAAGGGCGGTAGCCGCTGTAACTTGTAGCTGTAGCTTGCAGCCGTTTAGTTGCAAGGGGTAGCTGCAAGGGGTTCATACTCCTACCAGAATGTGGGTGGGACGGTGCCATGTATATTTCCCCAAACAGTTTACTGTGAGGGGTTCTAAATTCATTTAAAGTCACTCGCCTATTGCCAAGCCATAGCCTGGATGCCTGGCACGGCTCTCTCCTGGACGGGCTCATTTGTCTCCCTTTGTCTCCCTTCACTTGTCTCCCTTTGTCTCCCTTCATTTGTTTCTGTTCATGTGTCTCCCTTTGTCTCCCTTCATTCGCGTGCCCAATTCAGACACACATGTGTGTACACGTGGAACACACGTGTGTTCACCTGCAAAACAAACACGTGCAATTAAAGCGCACATGTGTGTACATGTGGGACACACATATGTACACCATTGGATCACAAATATGTGTCCAGGAACACCGCGTGTGCGATTGAAGCCCACATGTGCGCACACGTGGAACACACATTTGTGCAGGCGTGAGCAAACATAAATGATCGCCTGAAGCTCGCACACACACACACATGTGTGCACCTCAAAAACAATCATGCGTTTTCTGGAGCACATACATGTGCACACCTGGAGAGCAAGTATGTCGTCAGATGCAAAAACTATCCACCTAGCACATAGTAATGTGTTCGCGTGGAACACACATCTGTCCACCTGGAACACAAACACGTGTCCAAGTAAAACACACATGTGCGTACACGTGGAAGACACATATGTGTGCACGTGAACACACATATGTGCACACGTGAACACTAACATAAATGTGCACCCGGAACACACACACACACACCATTGCGCTCATCCGATAACAACCGCGTGTTCTCCTGGAACGCAAACACGTGTTGAATTGGAACACACACATGTGCGCACACGTGAACACGTGGAACACACACACGAGTGTTCATCTGAAAACAAACATGTGTTCACCCGGAACACATACACGTGTCTGATAAGAACACACATGTGTGCACACGTGAACACACATACATGTGTACACGTGGGAGACACACATGTGCACACGTGAACACACACATGTGCACAAGGGAACACACACACACACGTGTACTGCACACGTGAACACACATTTATGCGCACGCTGAAACACAGACACACACACGAGTATTCATCTGATAACAAACACGTGTTCTCCTGGAACAAAAACACGTGTCTAGTTGGAACACAGGAGTGTGGCGGCTTTTCCGTTCTTAAAGCTGCCTTTTCTTAGAAGCTTTTGTGATGGGCGGGAACGCGCGCCGGTTGCAGGCCGTTTAGCGACGAAGCAAAATTTCCTTGCGCTAGTTGCTCTCAAAAACAACGCTGGGCCGTTTAGCGACGCGCTCCGAATTTCCTATTGAAAGCTTGCTTACGAGGCTTTCTGCAAAGCTCTCTTACAAAGACCGGCTCCAGGAAATCGCCAAATCTAGGGGCGTTTCGGGCTCCGCCGCAAACGCAAAACGCTTAGCTCTCGCGTAGCTGGGAAGCTTGTTGGGCTGTTGGAGGACGATTCTAGGGCGCACGTGAACACACGTCTGTGTACACGTGGGACACACATGTGTGCACACGTGAACACACAAGTATATATCTGCACCCGGTGCGTTCATCTGATAACAAACATGTACTCACCTGAAACACAAACACGTGTCCAATTGGAACACACAGTGTGTACACGTGAACACACAAGTGTGTACACGTGGACCACACATATGTGTACAAATGAACACACATGCGTGTGCACGCGGAGCAGACCTATACACACACACACGCGTTCATCTGATAACACACATGTGTTCTCCTGGAACACAAGCACGTGTCCAGTTGGAACGCACGTGTGCGCACACTTGAACACACAAATGTGTACACGTTGAAAACACATATGCGTACACGTGAACACACATACATCTGCATGCGGAGCAGACACGTGTTCATCTGATAACAAGCATGTGTTCTCCTGGAACACATAGAGGTGTCCAGTTGGAACGTGAACACACATATGTGTACACCCGGAACACGCACACGCATACACACACACACCCACACACACACGCGTGGTCGTCTGATAACAAACATGTGTTCTTGGAACACACACACACATTCGTACACCTGGAACACATATGTGTGTATGTCTGGAAAGCACATTTCTGTTCACCTGCGACACACATTTGTGTTCACCTGGAACCCATACATGTGCTCACTTGCGCAACACTGGCGCAGACCTGGATCACACAAACATGTTTAACCATAACAATCTTCTGCGCTGACTTGTAACACACATATGTGTACACATGGAACACACGTATGTGCACATGTGGAGAAACATGTGCAACACAATTGTGCAGCGCACATGCGTTCACCTGGACAACAAACATGTGTTCACATGGAGTTCACATTCTCTGCACGCCTGCGCGACACATAAATGAAGTTCCCGAAGCCGGCTGTGAGGCGCTATTCCATGGGGCTCGATTCCTTTCAGGAATGCAAAATCCACTTGGACTATGTCTTCTGTCGTGGGTGGTTGTTGGCTATTCCACGGCTCTTCACGCATATAGGACACCAGTTACGGTATGGAAGATGCGTGAGACTGCGTTTTCTGATTTGCTGTGGCGTTGGTTGCTCTGGCGCTTTGACTCCTTTGGCTTGTCGCGCTTCCTGTTGTTCCTCATCGTCGATGTCGAGTTGGTCTTTGTATTCTGCTTTCTCTTCGAAGTTGGTTGAGCCTGTCCATTCCTTGTTGGTTCTCTTTCCTTCTATTGTCCAGTTGTCTTCATGGACGGTTGCTCCATCCAGTTGCGTTTCGGTTGGGACTATCCAAGACCGTCTGTTTGGGAGGAGGTCAGGAGGTTGTCCACATTGGGTCCATCTGTTGTTCGTTCTGGCGTGCGCAAGGTGTCGTGTGGTTGAACGTACGCTCGTTTCCAGAAACGGTCTTCTCGGATCCAGTAATGCGATGTTGGTTGCACTGCCGCCGAGTGTGGTAGGTTCCCAGGGTGTTGCACTGGTCCTGGGATGCTAGTGGCGAGCCGTCGCTGATCTTGCTCTTGATGCTGTTGTTGCGTGGTGCTTTTGTTGACCTTGAACCACGTCTCACCTGTCCAAGCTTCTCCTTGAAGAACTCGATGTTGCTCCTTACTGCTGAGACTTTGGTAGGAGTCATTGATCTCCTGGTTGTTGTTGCCGTTGCTTCTTTTGACGATTGTTTTCCGGAAGTTTTCCAGTTGCTCCACTGGAACCGGAAATCCTGTGTTGCGCGGTGTGAACCAGGCTTTCCTGAGCCTTTTGTGGATCCGGACCAAGTAGCCCTCGTTGTTGTACTGCCAGATGTCTGTGTTGCCGCCTCTCATTGGCTCTGCTCCTGTTGGCGTGAGTGTGGTTGGTACGATCATGGCTACCTGTCCGTTGGTGCGTCCTTCAAGCGCATTGTGTGCCCTTGTGGCAGTGGGTCGATTGTCACGTTGAGATACAAGAGACCGTGCTGTCTCTCAATCTCGCTGTCAAAGCCTTTGGTGCGACGCACTGTGAGTGTCTCCGTGAGGTTGATGTTGAAGCCTTGGGCGCTCAGTCGTGTGACCGACACGATTGGTTGCTTCACGTCACACGCGTAGAACGGTGTGACGATTGGCTGCTGTTGTTGGTTTCTAAAACCTGATCCACCTGTATCCATACACCTTGATGCTGCGGTCTGTTACTGTTCTGAGTTGTGGTCCGCTTTGTGGATCCAGCTGTTGTAGTGTGAACTCCTGTCCAAACCAAAGTGGACAGACATGTGTTGCTGCGCCACTGTCGAGTCTAACATGATCTTATGGTTGCTACTGTTGTGATTCTGCGTTTGTTCAATGGATGCAACGATGACCTCGTCCAGGCCGGAGACCACCAGTGGTGTTGTTGAACCTGCCGCCGCGCTAGGTGCTGGAAGTGCCAGTTGCTGTCGCTGTTGTTGCTGTCCTGTAATGTGTGCATTCCACCAGTAGTTGTCATACTGCTGTTCCTTGCCCTTGCTGTACCAGTTGCTTGTCATATCTGTTGCTTCTGCTGCGTCGTAGTTGTAGATCGCCACTTGGCACTGTGGCTATGTGACCTGGTTGGCCACACCTGTAGCAAACACTGTTAGCATGTTTGCCTTTTCCTTGGTTGTATCCTCCGTTTCCTTTTCCTTTGTTGTGTCCGTAGTGGTGGTGCATTCCTGTTCCTTTGAACGGGTTTCCTTGTCCTATAGGCTGTTGGCTCTTTCCTTTTCCTTTGCCTTTGTTGTATCCATAGCCTTTCTGTTGCTGCTGGCTGTAGCCGCCGTAGCCCTTGCCTTTGTTGTTGTCGCCTTTCTTCTTTTCCTTTGTTGCGTTTTCCTTTTCCTTTGCTGCCTTTCCACCATGTGCCGCCGATGTCCATTGGTGCTGGACCGCTGTTGTTGCTGCTTGCTGCCTGTGCTGCTTGTAGCCTACTGTAGGAAGATGCTGCTCAGTGGTACTCTAAGATCGTTGGTCTTAGATCGTTTTTTTTTGTGACTGCTCCTGCTTGCAGCTGAAGGTGTTGCTGCTGTTGTCTGGGAGAGTGGTTCCGTTGTCACGCTCGTAGCGTCCAACTTCAAACTCCCACTCTGCAAACGACTCCTCAAAGTTGTTCTCGTTAAAGGTTGGTTTGAGGAGTTTGGTGA